CCTCCTCCTCCTCCTCCTCCTTCCTCCTCCGTCACATCTCTCTTTTGACTGGCTCTCCTGCATCACACAGGAGACCCCGGTGAGAGGATCTTTTCCTCTCTATAAAGACAAGATGCAGCTCAGGGGCTGATGAGATGATCGCACGGATTTATGGCTCCGCGCTCCTCCTGACTCCTGACGGACAAAGTGATCTGGACGGAGCCGACCTTCGACAGTACCGGACCGAGGAACTCTAGAAACACACAGGAGTTCCTACCGCAGGTTACAGCCCGACTGTGAGCATCTTTTTTCGGTTCTACGACTTTCACGTTGAGACTTCCGTGCGTCGGCGGCGCAGTTCTGAGTGCAGGTGTTTGGAGAGGAGAGTGCGGACAGATGGCTGCGCTGACGATACAGAGGACGGACAACTTCTTACACACTTTTTTACAGGTTTGTTGCATTTTGACCCTGTGGTTCATTCGATGAATGCGTTGGTAACAGAGTAAGGACTGTCGAGGTCAGCAAACCTAATGAGTGAAGTGGCAAAACGGCTCAGTCACGAGCAAAATAAAGTAGTTCTAACAACGGGTTTAAATTATTATCAGCCTTGGATGTTGATAAGAGACACGGGACTGGAGTGAGTTTTTAAAGATTATTTCAAACTTCTAATACCGGTAATTCACTTTTAAAAAATATAAATGATTTTTGAGTATTTATTTCATTCACAGAATTTAAATTCCATTTGAGTTCTCTGTGTAATTTTATATGGTGGTCGTTGAAACTTTGTTGTGCTGATTAGATTTGTATTATGGAACTTTATTTTAACGTAACAATTAGCAACAGCTAAAAAATGTGTGCAGCACATCATTACATTTACATTAGTTACGTTCAGATTAACAGACCTGACCTTCAACGCCATCAAAACAACATGTCCCGTTCTAATGGAGTTTATTCTGATCTCTTCTAAAGTTAATTCTACTACAGTACTGATGATGATGATGATGATGATGATTGTTGTCCATCCTCACACAGGACCGGACGCCCAGCTCCTCTCCAGAAGGAGCACCCAACGCCCTCTCCTTCCTGGCCACCACCTGTAGCCAGGCCTGGCAGGTAGGAGGCGGCATGTGTTCAGAAAGTTCCCAGTTCCCCTACGAAGGCACGGTCAGTTCAGCGTCGGGGATGTTCCAGCTGTGGAGCAACGAGATGGCTCCCAGCACAGCTCTCACCACACATCAGATGACCTTCACTGTCCCCAAAGTGCAGTTCCCTGGACACATGCAGTCAAGCCTGGGTCACCACCACCACCACCACCCCCACCACCCACACCACCACCACCATGAACTGCCTCTCACTCCTCCTGCTGCACCTCCCTCGTCCTACTCGTTTGAACTGTCCCCTGTTAAAGTCCTGTCCTCGCAGCCCCAGACCACTGCTCCGTACTATTCTCAGCACAACAGCGTGGGACAGAACTTCCCCAGCCTCCTCCAGAACTCCTCCACCAGGCACCACATGCCCGGTGGCCACGTGGAAGAAGGTCAGCAGTGGTGGAGCTTACCCCAGACCAATGCCACCCCCTCCAATCACCCCTTCTCTCTGGGCCGACAGCTGGTTTTGGGCCACCAACCTCAGATAGCTGCCCTCCTCCAGGGTTCCTCCAAAGGCCTGTTGAGCTCCACGCGCCGCTGCAGGCGCTGCAAATGCCCCAACTGCCAGGCCAGCGGTGGCACCGTGGAGTTTGGAAAGAAGAGACTGCACATCTGTCACATCCCAGAATGTGGAAAAGTCTATAAGAAGACGTCTCACCTGAAGGCACACCTACGCTGGCACGCCGGGGAAAGACCCTTCATCTGTAACTGGCTGTTCTGCGGCAAGAGCTTCACCCGCTCGGACGAGCTGCAGCGGCATCTGCGCACGCACACGGGGGAAAAGAGATTTGGGTGCCAGCAGTGTGGCAAGAGGTTCATGAGGAGCGACCACCTCTCCAAACATGTCAAGACCCACCAGACCAGGAAGAGCCGGTCTGGACCGAGCTCGGACTCTCTGATCACCAACATCAAGAGAGAGTAGACCCCCGGTGGTCTGCTGTGGTATCAGCAAGGAACGGACTGAGTGGTTCACACTTGGTACATTAGGTTTGCACTAGAGGGTAAGCATCAAGCCCCCCCCCCCCCCAGGACATGTATGCTTTGAAAAACTTTAGATCTTGACATAAGTTTATCTGTAGAAACCACTCGGTTTCATCTGTTCTGCTGGAGGCAAATCACCTCCAGAGAAAACGTCTGCTCACTGACATTGGGGAGTCACTGTACTTTCCACTAAAACATTTCATCAGAACCAATGCAGATTATACGCCTTTAACATGATGTGGAAAATATTTTTTTGTTGTGTATATTTAATCTTTATGAAGGATGTGTCAAATCATTGGAGAAAATCCACTTTATATGTTATTTGTTCAGAATGAGAAAAAGCCTCAGTGAGTTCAGTGAATGACTGAACTAAAGACATTAGAATTCGGCTGCTGATAATTGGACTGATAATTTACAAAAATTCTAATTTGTCTTATTCTGCGCAGATTTTTTTTTTTTTTTACTCTTGGCTTTTGACCCTCATGCACAGATCACGTCCTGATTAAAGCAACAGTGTAAAACACTAGGCGTCCATGTAAGCAAATATTTTAAAAACTTAAAGGTTTCTTGTAAATTGTGTATAAACAGCGTTTTATTGGAGTTGCATGTACATTTTAATAAACACTGTCCTTGATGGTTCAATTCCGCTGCCGTTAATGTTATTTTAATTTTCTTCAGCAAATACCTAAGAGTGACAATGACAGTGTCAGGTTTCCACCTCCGCTGCAGCTCATCCAATAAATGTGTGAATCTTTTTTTTTTACACCACGGCTACTAAAGCTCTAACATTTTATTTAAATTGTGATTCAGATCACAAAGGCCGCCCCGTTGTGCTGTTGTCCTCCAGAAAGAAAGTCCTAAAGAATGCCTAACATGGAGGGCTGTTCAAAGACTTTCACACCTCAGAGTAAATACTCATCCCATTGACGGCGCTGTTTGTCTCGCCCGGCTCCAATCAAGTTCACAGTCATGTGGCTTTTTCATGAGTGTTTTCTCTCGTTTCAATGCAGAAGATTGAGTCAACAGATGCAACAGAGGGCACAGGAGAAGAATTCCTTCTGAATAGGACCCCTGTTGTTGAGACCCCCTCAGTGGTGACAGGAACTCCCTTTGATTTTGCACCCTTGTGAAAGTTAATACCCTTTCTGCCCCCTCCCCTCCGCAGCCCCCCATATATCACAGCCGTGTTACGATCCACTCTGCTTTACTGCCCAGAATGGGGCTTTATTCTGAGGCCAGCCAACCAGATGTCAGCTCATCCAGGGGTTTCTTCTCTTTGTTTTTAATCCTGTTTGAACTTTCTCCAAGGGGGATGCCAAAGCAAGCAAGATACACCGCCTTTGTCTTTGTCAGAAAAGTCCCTCAGTGGAGTCTGGAGACGCCTGCTGTGGTGTAAAACTTTTATTTTACAATTAGTGCACGTCAAGAAATAAATCAGAAGGTTATGAATGCTTCTATGAGTAATCTTCATACACAGAACTAAAGTACAAGATAGGTGAAAAAAGGTTTTTATTTGAGCATTTTACGGGGTATTTGATCCAGTCTGGGCCGTAACTGAACCAGTTTTTACTGAGTGTTTCTAGACTTCTTCGTTGTTTTCTATTTGAAGAAGGAATTGTTTTATTTGTTATTCGACCTAGATACACTGACATAATCACTCAATGGAATGTACCCCCTCTATTTAACCAACTAACCAGAGACAGGAAAAAATGTTACGATACTTTATTTACTTTTACATTTTTTCTTCAAGGCTACTTATATGACACTTAGAAATCAAACATCTGATTTTTAAATTTTAACATTTTAACATTTAATCTAGTTATTTTTGGGCCAATATTGTATAACAATTTCTTGATTTGAGCTCTGTCAAGATAATACTAATTACTCATTTACTTGGTCCTGTTGTGACTACATTTTTATTTTTTACAATTTTGCTTCCCGGTATCTTGGCTGTTGTTGCCTTGTTTCTGTCTTTATATATATATATATATACTTTATATGTTCATTTTCCACTCTTCTGGATGAAGTTATCCATTAGTTAAAAAATATATTTTAAAATTCAAATTTATGTTTTTTCTTTAGAACATTAAGACTTGTTTCTGTTAGTAGATTTTATTTTATTTTTTAGCTCTTGAGCTTTTTGATGAATGACTCTTGGAATAGTTCATGACTAATGTTTAATCCGACGTTTTTAATGATATTAATTTCTAGAAAAAAAATTAATGTCAAAATCCTAGTGATATTTACTTTTAAAAATCATGGCAACTTCCTGTTAAGTATAGCGAACTTCACAATATTTACGGTGTAACATTAAATATCTTGTGTTAAGGCCATGGCGTTTAAAAACTTATGCCCAAACTATTTTCGATCATAACAAAGTGAAACACAGACGCTGCCACTGGCTTTTATAAAGACACTTTTTATTCGATATGATACAACAGCTGTTACTCAGTCAAACGTGACGTTGACCAACCCTCTCTTGATCCTGTGTCCATACTTTGGTTGTGGTATTTCTTTGCGTCACATGCAAAGCTGCCTGTTCAGAATTTGTGAAAAAAATCACAGTCCGGTTCGCATTGATTGCGGAGTAATAACGTAAATGTTTTTTTATAAAGGTCAATTTCAGCTTTTAGTTGACTGGGGGAAATAAATTGCTGTTGACGTTTTCACTGAAATATGACAAATTCGGATCTTTGGTGCAGCTGTACGGTGGCGGAAATACAAGTCTTGTGAGGACCTCTAGCGGCCAAAAGCAGAAACTGACATGACAGTAACAGGATAGTCGCCTTCAAGTTCTTTCTCCTTCTGTCACTGAAACAGAACCGTGACATTAACACACATGATTATTTTCTCAAACATGGAACCCCTGGACTCAAGATGGAGGACGTATGAGATGGTAAGTAGTTAACTGCGTTTGTTTTTGGCACTGCTGTCTGAAGATGAATGTACATACAGATAACTAATCATCTTTCTGTTTGTATAACACACTAAACTTAATTTAAACCAGCTTGAACAATCTTAATTATCGACAAACACTATTACCTCTCGAGTGAAAGTGAATGAAGGTGTGGACTGCGCATTGATAGTCCAGTAAGAACAGCAGTGGACACACCGTAACACAGAGAGGCTAACGATACGACAAGATTAGCATAATACAACGATAAATACTGGTTTAAACTAGGGCTGTCGGTTCAACTATGTCGTTATGACTTATTTTTAACGGAGTGTAGCAGATAAACAAGAAAGGCTGCAAGCTGAAATAGATTCCATCACGAGAAAACAATCAGAAAATGTAAAAATAAATTGCTTTCTGACTGTTTAGCCTACAGTGTTGATGTGTAATTAAAGCCAGTGTTATCAACTGATTTGTAACTGTATGCAAGGAAAACCACTCTAAACCACTACAAACTACCAGTTTCTTTTAAATCTAGTGTTTTGGTCTATATTTAAGAATGTTTATTTTGACCTTTTAAAATTACATTTGTAAACTGTATAAACACACGTGGCTAACAGCTGTGATTGTCAACAACTACAAATTCTGAGAAGGATTAATAAAGTATTTCTGATTTTGATAATCGTATTTTCATATTTACATTAGTTTCTCTGATTCCTACACATGGCACATGTTCAAGGAGTTTCACTTTTGAACAAAAGCCACACAACTTTCAGTCATTTTCTTTGGCATCTAAGAGAAGTATCTAATTTTCTTTCATATGTATTTGTTTATATTTATGTCATTGATCCTGTGTCTCCACCTATTTCTATATTTCTTTGCAAAACCCACTGAACCAACCAGCCCGACATCGTGCACTTGATTTTGATTAATCCCCTTAATATTTAAAATGTTAAAAATTATATTTTAAATGCAAAGCATACTTGACAGCCCTAGTTTAAACCATTTCATTTTTCAACATGTGTCATCAAATCATGAAAAACTCAAAATATTATGGTGCCAGTCTCCCAACAAAGAGAAGATGGCAGCAACACGTTGGGCCAGTACAGCAGTCCCTTTTCTTTCTTTCTTTTTTTTTTTAAACCTCTCGTTCAACTCTTCTGGGGTTGACCCCTAGAGCAAGAAGTACACTGAAGTGACGTCATACCCACAGAGAACCTCCAGGGGGCTCCCTCACACCTTTTTTGTTCAGATCAAAAGAGGGCCAGTCAAACAGAATAGGAGAGCACAGGAGAGAAAGTTCTTTCACTTTTAGATGTTTTTTTTTTCTGAGTTAGTAAAGTCCATGTGGCATCTTCACATCAAGTGTTCTGCCTTTTCCCATTCCTGTCGTAACCATAAACAGCAAACTCAGTTGTCAGCAGGGGAATGACAAAGTGTTTGTACAAAGATGTACTTGTCCTCACTTGGGGCTTCAGAACAACAACAACAAAAATCCTGGAGAAGATTCTAGAGGGAGTAGAAGAAGAGCCACAGGAACTTCTTCTACACCTTCACAAAGTCTGGCACTTTCACACATCATTCCATAAACATACATCCACACATACACACACACGCTGCTCCAGTGTCCGCCCCAAACAGGAATGGATTTTCAATGATCATCTCTCATGCCCTTTAAAGAGAGATGGTTGTAATAAGCTAACTCTCAAACGGTAAAACGCTTCCGATTGTAACACTAAATATCACTATGTTGTCAATTGGGAGCTAGGCTAAAAATCCATTCTTCGCTATCAATTTTTCTCAAAGGCGGCAGGGCAGAGTAATTTATTAAATGTTTGAGTTGAATGCAGCTCAAAATTCCTTCATTTAATCTGACAATCACTTTTGACCCAGGTCAGGGGTCGGCCTGGTGAGAAGCATCTGCAGACGCGGCTTCTTGTGCACACAGCTGTAGCTTTAGCTGCTCCCGCTTCAGTAGACCGGCCACATCAGAGTTCATAGGTCATCCTCAGCGAGCTGAGCCAGGTTACTTGGTCGTCGTCCAGTGGAGAAACCTGACAGAGGACCCTGGGTCCCAGTGTCCACAGATGGACCCCTGCGACAGGACTCTCCTGCTCTCTGCTGGAAGAAAGAGGTAACACACACACATATAAATATATACATACACCGATAGATATTTTTATGTGCAACTGATATATGAGATAAATATCTTTTTATCTTCAAATCTTTTCTACTTCAATATTAGATTTAATTTACATTCCAATTTCCAAGACACAATAACTTGGTCCTGACTCTTTCACCCTGCTTGATTTTAGTCCCGACAAGCCTCGGTCTAAGTCACACATTGGCCTGAGTTCCGTCTTTTCAACCAGGCACAAGTACAGGAAGTGATTATCTGCCCTTGATAGGCATCTCTTGCTGACTTCCTCCTCTGGCTCAGTCTACTTCCTGTTTGCTGTGTACTAGCAATAGCATGTTCCAAAGACGCTGCTGGCCTCTCATCACCTTCCTTCTTGGGATCACAGCTGAATGATGACAGAGGGACACGCCGCTAATGGTAATGTGAGACCAAACAACAGAATATGACTATTATTGTCTGCTAGCAACAAAGCCAGGGGAAAAAAAGGAAATCAACCTTTGATAAACATGTAGTTTAAATAAAACTGAAAGTTAGTTTAGGTTTGTTTGTTTTGTCTTTAAGAATACCTCCTTATTAAACCTTTCAATAGCAGAACACATATTTACTTCAATTCCCCTTTCATCCAGAAGGGGGCGAGGTTACTCTTCTTGTGATTCAACAAACACCACGTGTGGACCTATAAAGCCTCTTAAAATGGCACATAATATCCTTAGGAGTTGGCTCTGAGTGACTGTGAGACATCATCCTAATTAATTACGTGTTTAATCGAGGGACAGATAATTAGACTGTATTTAAATCCACCTCTAATGGGCCCCAAAACACAGTGTACTCTACCTGTGTTATCTGTGTGGTGGCTGTGAAAGGCCCATTTGACACAGCTTGACAGTTTGGCTGATTACTGAAGCCCAGTTGGACTAGTGACAGAGAGACAGTGTGTGTGTCAGCAGGGCACGGCTGGACCACTGTGGGCTGCAGGGGCAAACAAAAGGACAGTTAATCAGTGCTAATCAGCATGTACACAAGAACCAACTGCTGTTGTAGTTCTGATATGCACACAAAGAAACAAACACACAGAGATGGAGTGTAAGATATCTAAAAAAGATGTTTAGTCAGAATTAACTAGGACAGGAGGTGGTATGTATTTTTTGTCCTTATTTCAGGACAATTTCAACCAATACTTTACTGCACAAAAACTTAGAAAGGGAGGAGAAACTGCTTAGCAAACCTACGTCCTGCACTGAGTACGTCTCGGTGGGTCCTTGGCCCTGGCTTGGTAGATAAAGAGCAGGCAAAGAAGTGTTGTAAGAGTGGAGCGACGGCAGTTTGTGGCGATCAATGGAGGCAGAGGAGTGGGGTCTTAGGGCACTAGCAGAAGACAGAGGAGGCCTCATGCTGCGACCAAGGCTGTTTGACTTGCTCTCTCGACGCTGGTACTCAATAGGTGACTGTAAGGCTGAAAAGAGGGAAAAAGACTTTGTTGTTATTGAGATGTACAGTAACAACAACAACAACTAACAGGCCCTAACATCCTCAGCTCCAAATGTATTCACTTCTAATTTATGATGGTTAGCTTTTAGAATTCCCTCCACCTAAGTGATATTTTGGAACAGATTCCAGACGGCACAACACTGAGTCAGCAACTTCTGAGCAGAAAAAGAAGTAAACAAAACAGTAAAGACAACTGAACTGGCTCCTCCAGTGAGGTGCTGCTGTCAACAGGTTATTACTCGTTACAAGAGAAGTCAAGTTTATTGGGAAGTCCCAATTCACAAAACACACTTGACTCAAAGGGTCTTAACATGACCACTCCACAGAAGTAGCACAGGAATGCAGCACTGACCATTGAGAAAGTTGCGCTGGCTCTCCAGAATCTGCACCACGTCGTCGAACCAGGCTCTGCAGATCTCCGGGGAGGAGGCCTGCAGCTGGAATCTCACCACACTCCCGTCAGTGTTGCGTGATGTCAGCACAAAGCGTGCATCATCACCATCCACACTGGGCTCCACTCCGAGGCAGCTCACCTGGAACGAATCACAATTTGACTGGCATCTGTGTGGAATCCATCCTGCTGAGTTGTTGTTTGTTGAATGTTTCACTAACACATGCAAACCCGCTATTAATCCTCCGGATTATGTAATATGGTCTGACTCTGGCATAACAGTGTGCAGAGTCATGTGTTGTGTAACATAACCTGGGAATAATTTGTCTAAATTTTTGGTTATTTTATTTTGGGTAATCAACCCCGTGTGGGTGCTGTGAGTTCACTGGCCCAGCGGGGGCTCACCTTGATGCTGTTTTTGAAGATGTATCCAGGGATTGAGAAACCTTTCTTCCTGTCGATTGGCTCGCTGAAGATCACCAGCTGCTCAAACAGGAAGACCCGCCTTTCCTTGGCTCGGGACAGGAAGCCGCTGTCCTGCTCACTGACAGTGAAGGTGTCTTGCTGGAGCAGTTTGCCCAGGGCTGTGATTTTACCCTGATACCACAGTGAAAATGAGACCATCAAACAGAGGCAGAGGTGACAATGGGGTCTTGATGACCTTAAGACCGTCTTCAGAAATGTTTGCGACACTCACACTGTGAGTGAGACGTACCTCGAAGCCTTGAAGTCTGCCCACGTTCATCATGTCGTTGCAGCGTTTTGGCACAAAGCACATGACCTCCACAGCTTTCTGTGTCAAGGTCAAAAGTTAGGCTGTTGTTAAAAACTGAACCCCCACACACAGATAACTAAAACTGCATAGACAAAACCTCTCAAGGAAAGATGGTACACTTTCTCAAAATAAAAATTTGGTGGCTGTAACTCTTCAGAAAAAACAATTACACTGACACAGAGACATGGGGCGCCTTCTCTCTGCATTTGCAAATATTAACTTTTTAATCTTAGTTCAGCTCAGTTCCCTGTATTTTCTTTGTACTAAGTTTCTGGTTAAGGAACAAACCTCAAAGTTTGTAAAATTTTGAAGCTAAGTTTCTGGTTAAGGAACAAACCTCCGAGTTTGTAAAATTTTGAAGAAGTGTACAAAGTATTTTTGGAAATGGTATTGTCATAGTAAAACTTGATATAACTCCTGGAGAACACCCACCTCCAGCTCATCCGTGTCCATCCCAGCTTTGGTGTAATACTTATGGAAGTCCTGCGCAAATAAACACAGCATGGTCACCAGAGAATTTTCAGGCTCAGAGTAAGACATCTGGAGGAGCATTTATGGGGGTTGAACCCACCTTTTATTTCATTGCCAAAGGGCAGTGTTTTATACCAGGGATGTCATTTAATGATCATTATCAAAGACTTTAAATGTACGTCATAAAAAAAGAGTCTTGTGTTGTACTTTTTCTTTTCCTGTCAGAGGAAAACACGTTCCGACTCAGAGAACAGAATAAATCGTATGATTGGTTGGAGATGTTTGACTTCCTGTGTTCTCTCATGTTTACAAACTCGTGACTGACCCCGCTGTGCTTCACACAGCTGCTCAGTGAACACCAGTGTGTGCGTGTGTAAAGGTGTTGTTGTGTGATCAACAGCACCACAGTCGCTGCGTTTCACCTTGAGTAGCAGCTGGTACTTCATGATCCTCTGGACAGGTTTGATGAGCAGGTCGTTGAGCTGCAGCCTGTGGCCCAGCTGCTGCCGCATCTCCTGGCAGAGCGGACAGACAACAACAACAAACGTAAGTGTGACACCCACGACTGAAAACACTGCAGCTGATACTGCCGCTCCTCCATTTACACCTAAATGTTTATCTTTAAACATGTCTTTTGCTGTTTATCAACTGAAACAGGAAGGAGTTCATACATTTGAATATTGTATTTATTTTAGCAGAAGTTCCTATGTTTTTTTTTACTAACATAGTAGTTGTGATATTCTTGGTGAATCCACAGCATGGTGGGGACACAGACTATAGGTATCTACATGCACTGCCTGTCTGAAATAACTGTTTACATGAGAACAGGCCCGTTATATTTGTTTAAGGGCAATAATTTATTATTTTTACAGCCAATGTTGTTCTCAGGCCATAAAGGGGAATTATTAACACCGTTTGAGCTAACGTTTGAGCTAACTTATCGACCATTACCTAGCGTCCATGTATCCTTTTAGCTATCCATTAAACACTAGTCTTGTTTTATCTCGATTCTGGCTACCACTGTAATCTTTACACTCATGCGTGAGACTTTTTTGTTTTGACTTTCTGTTTTGAGCAAACTATTTTTAAAAAACTGCACTAAATAGCCTCTCGATTTTTTTTAGTTATTTACTAAACTAAGTAAAGTTATATACTATAAACCTACATTTTATAATTATGACCTCATCAGTTTTAAATCTTTACTGCTCAAACAAACAAACAGTGGAGAGAATTCAAAACATCAGTTGCTCACCTCGAAGTAAGTCTCGATGTACTCAGAGACAATGTGCTCCGACTTGGGTTTGTTCTGACAGTACACAACGTACATATGCAGACGCCTCTCCTGCATCACAAGTCACATTAAAAGCTCATTACAAAACCATTTCTTGTTTTTCACAAATACAGTTCATCTTGTGTAAATAAACATGCTGTGTAAAGTGGGTAAAAAAAAAGAGGAATTAATGAGCGGGCTCTGCTGAGTGGAGGAGTCTTTGAAGGTGTCACTGTCTGCTTAGTGCCTACTCTACTGTGACTAATTGATGTGGAGGTGCAGATGTGACACTGCTGAGCGCCGTAATGGAGTTACATGTGGACCGTACATCAGCTCATGTATAATTTACCCAGGTTATCCTCACCGTAACCAGAGCCTTCCTCAGAGGCAGCTGATATTAGAGTGAACCTAGCAACAGGCTGCACGGCTCAGTAACCTGGAGACGGCCGACGACTCCACCTGAACATGGACGTCATGTAACACTGCAGACCAGGCTGTGTGCTGTGTATCTGTCCACCAGCCATCTGCATGTGTATACGTCTGCAGGTACGTGTGTTTATATGCTGTGTGTATGTGTTGGACAGAACACATGTTGTTAAAAGCAGATTTTCATTGGAGCCCACACTGATCTGAGTCTTCACACTGAGACGCTGTGTTTAGATTTGGTTACACTTCCTTTATTACCCCACAGGCGTTTTTATTAACCTGTAGGCAGAACTGTATTGTTTTGTTTTTTTACAGTGAGAGTAAAGAAAAAGAAAGCCACAGACAGTTGCTCAAATGTCCTCGCCTTCAGTCCCTGTCTTCATGTGCCGCCACTTAGGCTGAAATCTAATTTTCTCCCCTTCCAGAGCCTCGTGACTCCACACCAGCTCAGCTTCTCTTCAGTACTCAAACAATACACTTAACCTTTCTCATCATGGTTCAGCCTTGAGCCAAGATATGAAGTTTCTCTCCTGGGTTTAAAAGAGTGTTTAAATTAAAAAGCAGCTGAGTGGAGTTTGTTATGTCTCGTCATGTTATCTTATTTAACTTTTTTTTCTGAGGTTTCCTGACTGTTTCAGTCCCAGACTGGAAGTTGTCCTGTGTTGGTGCTGTGTTGTAAAAACACAGGCTGGACGGAGACATATCAGTAACAGGGAAGTGGAAGGAGATTGAGGCTGGTAATTGAGAGACTATGTATGTTCACCATAGGATAAACAGGACTTCTCTGTTTTCTCAGCTCTATTTACTCTCACTCCAAACAGCCCAAGGAAGCACAGCCTACACTTCCACTGTGCGTGTGTGTGTGTGTGTGTTCGTGTGTAGAAGTCATATTCACATGTTTGATGAAGAGCTGAGCCAGCCTTTCTGGCTCTGCCAAACACTTCTCAAGCTCTCCCAGGAAGTAGCTGCAAAAATAAAAAATAAACACACATACACATTTAGAAAAGAACTGCACACACACACACACACACACACTGGTTTTTATGTTTAGTGAATACTTCACTTCGACATTATGCATCCACTAGCCCGGGCATGGGCAAACTAAGGCCCGGGGGCCGGATGTGGCCCGTTCAGCGTTTTAATCTGGCCCACCACATTTTTCCAAATTATATAAAAGCATTTTAGCCTTTATGCAAGTCATTTTTAGTTCACACAAATGCTCCATCTATCTGCTCCTGACCCGGCCCCTCTCTTCAATTTTAGGACAATGGTGGCCCACGAGTCAAAAAGTTTGCCCGCGCTTACTGATTTGTATTCTTCCTCAAAATTCAGTCTTAAAACCTTGAAATACCCTCTCACAAAAACCCTCCCCAGTGACACTGTGATTCAAATCACACTTAGAAAAGCATTTATAACCGTAATCAGCCACAGAATGGAAGGTCCATTTACAGACTCACTCTTTATGCCAGTCATATATTTGGTGAATGTTCCCAAAAACGATCTTGTCTTTTCCCTTCATGTCCTCCGGTATACCCTTGGAGTTCATCGTGGCCATGTAGCCCTGCGAAAAGAAAGAGCAGAGCCTCTGAGGTCATCCTCACCTCTGTCTGTGAACCGTCATTAACGACAGACACATTTCAACAATTAGCTAACCAATTTTAGCTTTCAAGCTGGAACGATTTCCTCTCTGAACCAAAAACCTGCAGCTATTTTCAGACTGTGTAACATAACACTCATCAAGCTAATAATTCACAGAAAGTGCCTAAAACTGGGATGGAGGCGATCCAACAGCAGGAAACTGGAGACGATGAGATGATAAGGATTAAGAGCACGTTATGTGACAGACTGGCTCCAGGACTGGAGCGGTTTTTCTGTTGGTGGAGATTGTTGGCCCGGGAATGGGCAAACTAGGGCCCGGGGGCCGGATGTGGCCCGTTCAGCTTTTTAATCTGGCCCACCACATTTTTCCAAATTATATAAAAGCATTTTAGCCTTTATGCAAGTCATTTTTAGTTCACACAAATGCTCCATCTATCTGCTCCTGACCCGGCCCCTCTCTTCAATTTTAGGACAATGGTGGCCCACGAGTCAAAAAGTTTGCCCGCGCTTACTGATTTGTATTCTTCCTCAAAATTCAGTCTTAAAACCTTGAAATACCCTCTCACAAAAACCCTCCCCAGTGACACTGTGATTCAAATCACACTTAGAAAAGCATTTATAAGCACAATCAGCCACAGAATGGAAGGTCCATTTACAGACTCACTCTTTATGCCAGTCATATATTTGGTGAATGTTCCCAAAAACGATCTTGTCTTTTCCCTTCATGTCCTCCGGTATACCCTTGGAGTTCATCGTGGCCATGTAGCCCTGCGAAAAGAAAGAGCAGAGCCTCTGAGGTCATCCTCACCTCTGTCTGTGAACCGTCATTAACGACAGACACATTTCAACAATTAGCTAACCAATTTTAGCTTTCAAGCTGGAACGATTTCCTCTCTGAACCAAAAACCTGCAGCTATTTTCAGACTGTGTAACATAACACTCATCAAGCTAATAATTCACAGAAAGTGCCTAAAACTGGGATGGAGGCGATCCAACAGCAGGAAACTGGAGACGATGAGATGATAAGGATTAAGAGCACGTTATGTGACAGACTGGCTCCAGGACTGGAGCGGTTTTTCTGTTGGTGGAGATTGTGTGTCAAGCAGTCATTACATTTAAATGCACAGTAGAAAGAAAAAGACTCGACAATTTTAACACTTTTACTAAGCTTTGGTGTGATTTTAGACCTTTTTGCTATTTCTTGCTATTTTTAGCCAACTTCTAACTCTAATGGGACATTTAGCACGGTAAGATGGCAGAGAGATTGTTTGCATGTAGTTTAAAAAACCGGACCAGACCGGACTACAACAATAATCATGTTTTCTGTAAACACACTGATTGATTTTTACCTCCACTATCAGCCCCAGGTCTTCCACATAGTATTTCTCTGTCTCAATCAGCTCCTTCAGCACATACCTGCAGGCGATACAAAAAGGAGGAATGATTATAAATGATTTCATAAAATTAAAAACTCTGTGTTTTTGCACAAATCACACCCAAATATATATATATATTTTAAATATACCGTGTATTACACTGGTGCTGATCAGGCTACAACGATCTACCCAGCCAAGAAATCAGATGATATTTACATATACTTATACACATAGAAACTTAAATCATAGACTGTTTCTTGCATTACAAATCTAGTCATGTATGTTAGTGTGTGTTCCTTATTATATAATCCCATAATGCACTAGGTGTTGGTTGAGGCTCCTTGTAGGCAGTCAGTACGTGGGTGATACTACACTGCTGTTGCTGTTACAGAAAAAAACCCTCAGGTTTGGGCTCAGTTAAGTTTCTTCTATTGATTTATCTACTTAAGTTATTACAACAGTCAGTGCAGCGTCTAATGTTTTTCTTCAGGAAATACAGTTAACTCGTCTGCCGTGGGAATGTCTGTTTTTCTTATCAGGAGTAGTTTGGAAATGATTGTGGCCTCAGGTGCTCTTGAGATGTTCATGAAAATTACTAATAACCACCTGATTAGATTAAAGAAGGTTCGCTTAAAAAAAAAAAACTCTTCGGTAAAAAATGTTTCAGTCAATTCTTTCACAGTTGCACACGGCTCTGATGTTGTTGTTAAGTAGGGCATCGAGTTTCAAAGGGATTTGTCCATTACATGTCAGACCACCAGAGTAGAGTTATTTGTGTTGTAGTACAACTTTATAACATATTATATACATATATATATAAGTATCTGCTTGGAGAAATTAAGTGTGAATAATTTCTATATATTATGCAGATTTTTCTTTCAACATTAAATTCATATTTATTTTTATTATGACAATGCCCCTCACTCTCTCCTGCAGGCATGCTCTGAATGCTCTGCATCAACTGGACTGTATTATTTGTACCATGGATGTGTGCACAGCAGAGCATATTAGACGGAAGATGCAAATTTTTTTTTTTTTCATTTTCATTTGCAGAATTTTTTAAAGATATAGTGACGTAATGGCTAAATGGCTTTGACATACATGCTCTTCTCCGCCGCGCTCCTCCTCTCCTCTTCAGTTTCGGCCACAGCTGACCATTGGCTGCAGGTGTCGTCCATCAACATGGACCCGCTGTCATCTGGTAAAACACTGGTGGACTGAGTGTCCTGGGGACAGGGACCAAAAAGAAAAAGAAAGCAGTGAAAATGGTTATCAGAGGTCCAGCATCAGCATCAGCAGTCCAGTCAGGAATACTGTAAAGGTTCAGGAGGATGAGGATGAGAGGGACTTTGGTTTCCAAGGCGACTACAGGGAGCGACCAGGGGCTGAGATCAAACGATAAGCAGATCAGATTCAGATGGTCACTGCTAATGAGCCTTGTCGTTCACCTCAGTGACAGATACATGGACGGACTGTGAATTAAAGGTGATGACAGATGACGGTTCATTTCATTTGAAGCCCCATTCATATGATTTATGTGTGACTTCATTAATGACATTTCCTTCTTTTGCCAGCTGGGACTTTTCACACATGTATGTAAACACACCACGCCACATTTACAATAGTGACAACTATGCTACAATCCCAAGTTTGTGGCTGCAAATAGAAACGCAGGATGAACACGGGGTTGTTGTGATCCTATCGATTGTGTTTGTGTGTTCTATACATGGCCTCGCTTTTTTCATGCCTTTTCATGCTTCTTCCTGGAATTGATATCATTTCCTGTGGTGATCCTGGAACAGAAATAGCCATTGTGTTCATCGCAACAAAGCCTGCCGAGACCAAAGTCATCACTGGCTCAATGTATACATGATCTGCTGACATGTTTGTGGAACTGAGTTCATTTTGCCACACTAAGAACACTGAGGTGTTAACACGTTTCAAATCCTCCACATTTTTCTTGGTTTTCCCCAAAAATTGTGACACGGGGTGTATGGTTTTCAAACAAGTAAAATGCAGCCCCAAACCATGCTGGAGCCTCCTCTATGCCTTACAGGTCTCCTTTAGACCTCCTTGGTGATTTTTGTTCTACTACTGTATTTGACTGTTTATTTTCTACATGGTCCTCTTGTATTTTTCCCCAGAGCCTTTTATGACTTTAACTCAACATTTCTACCTTTTCTGTTAAAGTTTTGGCCAACAGTTGACGGATGAACTGAGGAGCCAGATGTATTTCTCAGATCCTTTGCCTGAACCTTGATGGATTTAGTTTTATTAAAAAAATACATGTCAAATTTTTTTTTCCCTGAACCTTGATGGATTTAGTTTTATTCTTTGAAAAAAAATACATGTCAAGGTTTTTTTTTTCTTTTTAACAAGAATTAGACATTTTTGGTCTTCTACAGCTAACTCTAACTAACTGACATTTAAATATTTTAGGTCTGTCCATGTGTATGTGTGAACACCAACCCTTCCTGTGTCCTTTTGTCCCAGTCAAGCAGAACATCTCCACCTTAAACACACAGACAAACCAGCTCACCTACCACAGACCTAACTCTACAAACTGCCATGGCAGGCTGCTGCTGCCCACTGGAGAAATAAACAGACGCACGTCTGGATAAAGGTAAATGGAAAGCAGAACAGAACTCTCTGTTTTTCTTCTCGGTCCATATGTTCACTTGTCTTTTCTCAGATGTACTCCACGGCACCTGCAGGCTGTGAGGGGGTGGGAGGGTGAGGGTCATCTCACAAATGTTACAAAAATGCACTGAGGAGACACCGGGGTGAAGACAGAGACAGTGAGGCTCCACAAAGACCCTACCCACCCAAGCCCCCCTGCTCATCTTGCCCTGCGAGGAGAGCTCCAGCCTGGCTGACAGGTCTCCCTGGCTCCCTGATCATTTCCAGATGTGCAGTGGCAAAACCCACAGGAAAATATTCTCCACTTCTTCCTCTGTACTTGGTTTTAATTCTACCAAGGAGCTCACAAAAAACAACAACCTCCAAACACCTTGGATCACAATCATTCTCCAAAACAGTTTTCACATTTTATTACCTTTAATATTAAAATTATTAAAAGACATAAAGTGGACTAAAACACACCTCTGACCAAGAACAAACAAACAAAGATATTTAGATCTACACTAAACTAGAGCTAAAACTTCATGGACCAGTCAAAAGACTATGTGTAGAAGTATTCTATTTTGAAAAACTTACTTAACTAAATCTTCCGCCCAAGGCTCTACCGCGTGACCAACAAAACGTAGCCTTTGCCGCGCAGTCTTGTCACGTGACCATACTCAAACTTAGCGGCGGTACGGGTTAGTTTAGCGGCTACTGCTGTCAATATCCACCGTCGTTAATAACAAAAATGGTCGAATCAACGGTCGACAATTCAGACGAAGACGAGGAGGTACACACCAGTTTACCAAGCGTGTGGAACAGCAGTTACATCATGCGGCGTCTTTTGTGTTTCCCAAAACAAACGGATATTTCAGCATTAAAGAACTCAACGTCTAACCTGAGGATACAAGTTGCGGTAAGTAGCCTACTTGAATTTACCTTATTGATAGGACGAACTCTCCTCTTTGTGATTTTGTCTAGCTGATTGAATGCTCATTAAAAAATAAATCAAATGTCACTTAATAGTTACTCAGTACTTGAGTAGTTTTTTCACCAAGTACTTTTTTACTCTTACTCAAGTAATTATTTGGATGGCTACTTTTTACTACTACTTGAGTAATATTATTCTGAAGTAACAGTGCTTTTAATTGGGTACTTTTTTTTTTGGCTACCTCTCTCTGTATATCTAAATATATATTTCAGTGAATATGTAGCTGATGGTAGTGGAGGAGACAGTAATGGCTGACCTACATAATGTAATCTCTCTCCTCCTCTCTCCCCTGCGAGAGATTGGCAGTAAAAACACAACAGCAGTGACCTCATCTCCTGTGATGTAACTGAATAATGGTTTTTGATGTTGCTGTTGTTGAGACTCAAATTAAGAATTAACCGCGACAGTGTCAATTTCCCAATGGGAGACACTCCAAAAACGCTCGCAGGCCCAAATACCTTTATTGCCTCACGCTCATGGAAGTCACGCACCGATGATTCACGGTGCAAATGCTAATCAGGCCATTCTCAGGTTCTACCGCAGGTTCAGCTCAGAGAAACCGTCTGACACTTCTTTGACTTTGAAAAATCTTTATGAATGAATTAACAGAGCATTTGTTTCTCCTATACATCCTACATTTCTGTCTGTACACCAGGTCACGACCTGTCTTCTACATCTGTGTCTACATCTTAGGAATAAATTGAGTTTTCTTTCAAATGTTCAGTTAATTTTTTTTTCAGAATTATTCATTGTTGACAGTTAAACAACCCTAATAAATATAACACAGCTCAATGCTTGACACAGATACAGTATATATGGTAATAAAAGTGGTCAAATCTGTTGAAGACATCTAAATGAACTGTGAATATTATTTAACTATTAATGTACCTACCCTTGTTCTGACATACTGTCAGCGATTACCTACTTCTGCCACTTCAATCTATTTTTTTTATCTATATACATATATCACACACCTCTCTGTCAACTCCATTCTCTGGTACATTGACCTACTGAGATTCTTTTCTGCATCATTTACGAGTGTGTTTTTTTCTCTCTGTCATATGTGTGCACATTATTGTATTGGTGTGCCGACAGACTGGTGCGCCCTGGTGTGTCTGTTTTGTTGTGTCTGTTGTACTCAGACAGCAGCAGGATGTTTGTCATTTCCGGGTATGCCAGACGAGCAGAGAGACAAAAAGCACTGATGCCACACGAGCACACAGGAACATCAGACTTTTTTTTCTTCTTCTAAGGAGAGGGAATCAGTTGAGCCAGGGCTAGATACCGGCAGATGCGAGCGAGAAAAAGATGAGAGAGACCAGATGGAGAATAAAGAAATTGGCAGCTGAAAAGATGAGAGTCGGAGAGAACTTTCTAGAATTGTGCCAAGCTGAATGACTTGTTGAAAAATAGTTTCCAAGTTAAGAACAGACACCAAACTTTGATGATGATAAAGCAGGTGCACATTTTCTTATTTGAGGTCTTAGCCAAGTCTCGACATTAGTAGAGGCCCATGGCAAATGTCCTTGAACTGTCGTATTTTACCACTGAATTTTACATATTTGGGGCTTTTGATGTTTCTGAACTTTTTGTAAAAATATTGAGCTTGAAATTTGTGGTAAAAAACTATCTTCCATGTCACTTGTCAGAAATGTAATTTCAAAACTGTTTGTTTGGCACGTGTCAAATAATTACGGCTCTTCCTGTCTGCACCCAGAAAAATGTAGTTAGTTAGGCTAAAACATTTTAGCAGTTGTTAGCTGAAAATTGACAATTGACAGAAACAGCCAAAAGATCTCAGATTACAGATTATGCTTTTGATATTTTTATCTTTACCAAATCAAAACACAACAACTGGCAATTAGAAGAGAGGTTGGTCACAACTGGTTTATACCAGTGTTTTCAGACACATTCAGTTAGACATTGCAAATTATCTGTAAGTATCTCATTCAGACAGACCTGGTTGTTTGGCAGTGACGCACGGCCAATAAGTGAGTCAGTGATGTAGCCGGGAGACTGCAGTGTCGCCGGTGACAGGTCCTCAGGGCTCGCCAGGCCATCTTTCCACTCCTGAAACACACACACACACACACATACAGTCGGATTATGTGGTCATGTGGAACAATTTACCTGTAGCAGAAACCATTCATTTGGCTGAGCTGTGCACACACACACACACACACACACAAAGCAACAAGAAGAACAAGTAAACACATGAGTCACAGGACACAGGACACACAGGTCACTGTAGACTCAGGGTACAGAGTCCTCTGTGCTGACTCTCCATCAAACCCAGATCTGGATGTTCTTAATGTTACTTTAAATCATACTACTGAACAGAAACATGTATTATAAATATACATATTTTCTTTAATTGTTTGCAAATTAATAATTCCATTCCATTTGGATTAGTAACAAATTATAACAGGTGTTGAACACATGCATATATCTGTTCATCATATCTGTTTGAGTAGAATAATAGAAAGAAATGTAGCAGTTTGTATGTAGTATTTAAAGTGTAGTATTTGGGAATGTAAATTAATATAATAAAAATAGTCATGCTTTTTTTTAGGAACGGAATTTTAATGAATAATTGTGATTAATTTGATATTTTACAGCTTCAATTTTGACAAATATTGTGAAAATTGGTGAATTGTGAAATGCCTAATGTCAATAAAACTTCAAATAGAGAAAAGAAAGAAAAAAATACATTTAAAAAACCATCTGGAGTAGAGAAGTCTGCAGTGGAGAAAAACATAACAGGGTAAAAATATATGGTTGGCACATTTTTGGCAGGTAGTTTTAACTTCTTTTTTTTTCATCTTTCTTCTCTTCCTCCTCTTTAGCCGCTCTTACATGTTATTGTTGGATGTATACATTTTAAAGCACAGGTATTTTTACAGTGCGTCCTTGCTCCTCATACGTTAAGTTGACAGTTGTGGTTATATGTCAATATTACAGGAAAAGATTGAAATAAATCCAGCAACCCTAACAGGATTAAACTGCAGAAGACAGACGGACGTTGTTGGCTGACAACCCAAATGACTCTGTCAGAGGTGCAGGACTGTTTTTTAAAAATGTATACGACAGCGCCAGCTTTGAGTGCTAGTGGTTTCCATTTTTATAATTTTAAATAAATTACTTTCAAAAGAGTTACAACATTTGAAAAAAAGCAGACTTTTTCCAGCCACTTGAATAATTCATTGAAATAACTGCTGATATCACTTAAATCGTTACTCCTCACCAGCTCTCTGTGGGTGACGGGCAGGATAGTGAGCGGCTCATCAGGCCTTGGTGAGTTTCCCAGATCCTGGCTGTGGCTGGAAGACGGAGGTTTTCCTTCAATTTTGCGGACCTGGCGTTCTCCTTTGGAACTGGCCCCAACGCTGAGTTTGCGGACAGGGTTTGTGAGCCACTTCTTCAGGGTGCTTACAGAACGTCTGGAGCCCGGGGAGCTGGGGGCAGAGCTGCCTGATGCCTGTGGAGGCAGAGACACCACTGAGGTGGAAATGCTGCCTTCACTGCCCGCTGCAGAGTACGAGTCTAGAGAGGAGACAAAGGGACAGGGGTGACTGATTGGTACGGTACACAACAGAGACAGGGAGAAGACGGGAATGCAGGGGCGCAAAAATAGATATTTTCACACTAGTACTAGGTTGGTTGGAACTTTTTTGTAATTATTCCAGTAGATTTGTATCAAAAGCAAAATAACAGGGTTTGTTTTTAAATGGCACTGAGTCCAGTTTCCTATAAGACAATGATCTTTGGTTTTGGCCTAGACAACATATGGATTGGTGGTCCATAGAACAGGTCAAAGGTCAAACTTGGACTTGCCACTTGGCTGCATTTGTCAATGAGTCAATTCTTGGATTGACCAAAACAACAGTGGTGTTGACATGAAAATGCATTAGCTGCAGCGGTGGTCAGTGGGAGGTGATGAAGGCCTGAAGGTGCGGACATGTCAACACACAAGGAGAGCAGAAGTAAAGAGAGAAATGAAAACACAGTGTGGATGTATAAATAGCCTTCCTCTTTAAACACAGCTGTGCAGCATTGAGTTGCACTATAAAAGACTTAGTGTTCAGACCTTGTTTAACAATTTAGTGGTTTGTTTTATTACATCACCCATGCACAGTATGATGTGCAGCCGGATGAGGTCAGGATGAAAAAGAAAATGCTGCTGACCAGTTGCAGTTGCTGCTGCTGCTGCTCAGTGATGTCAGGAGGACATGGGAAATGAGCTGAGGGGGGTTCTGGGACCGGACATCCACTTTAATCCTGTGTAGAAGGGGAAGGTCCTGGTTTGGGACTGTTTGTTTTTTCTGTCTTGTCTCCTCTTCCCATCCTGCCTACCACCCTTCCTTCTGCTTTCCCTGGTCCTCGGATGGTTCTTCCTGTAAGTTGGTGTGTGTCTGGAGTGTTTTATCTCCTCTGTGCAAACTCAGGTCACTGTTAGCCCGAGAACTCACCTCTGACCCATAATCACCGCCCTCCAACAGAGAGAAAACACACTCTGTAGTCTTTGTCCTTTGACACACTTATTCCTTCATATTTTAATGTAGTATTTGGGTTTTTTTTTATTGCTTGCAGAAACTCATTTCATTCTCTGGGTCTA